TAGGTGTTGTGGGTGACCATGGGCGGCGGTAGTCACTTACCACCAGGTGAGCCGCATGCTCGTTTGCCCCCTGTGTTGTAATATATATATATATATATATATATATATATATATATATATAGGTATATGTGCTTGTTTTGTCCCATGAAGTGCCAATCGAAACAATTATATCCTTGGATTCGTTTGCGACTTGTCTATAGGGGCCCTACTGGGGCTATATTTGATAACCTTTGTGATCTTAGCATCATTATATCAGCCTTTAACTGTCCACTGCTGAATATAAGCCTCCCCTTAGTGGGCTTTGCCAGCAGGTGCCACGCTTGGTAGGCGGATTAGCAACCGCGGTTAGGTTTCAAAGATGCTTTAAGAAGGACGCTGCTGCCCATCTAGCTGTCTTAGTCATCTCTTACGATACCCATGGGAAAGGAAGGGGTGGCCTATTCCATATGGCCAGAATAAATAAATACATAATAATTAATTTGATGTGTATTTTTTTTAATAGGTGATAATGGAATGGTAACCCCACCCGCGCTAACGGTATACACCGGCGGGGCACCAGTGAAGGATGATAGGTGAGGACGAAAGCAGGTCAGTTAGCCCATCGTGACGAATTCAACAAGAATTGCTCACGATGGTTTCCAGGGGAACCACGCGGAGGTCGACCTGATAAGGCAAATTGCTAACAATGGGGCTGTCAAACTCCATTGCTAACAATCCCTTTCCCCCCATTTGACGTGTATTCGATTTGACTTCAATTTTGATTCCAATTCGATGGAGTTAAAATTCACCCCGCAAATCTCCGGTATACTTCAGTCAAGTTCTTTAAACTTATAAATAGATAAACTTTTTATTTGAATCGTTTATGACATACGTAAATTAACAAATGGGTTTATACAATTAGATTATTTACACTTTTCAAAATATACAACAAAAGATAAAATATGAAAATATGGTATCGCCATGTGTGTCGCAGTGACCCAAACAGGCTACAGCTCAGTGATGGTTTTGCTTGAAAGCAAAGCACTGATTTTCAGCTGCAGCCTGAAGTTAGGCTACACGGACGCGTGCAACAAACCCAGAGTGTAACCTGTGTAACAGCCAAAGATAAATTGTATTATATAGAAACATACTTATATAAATGATGCATAAATATATAAACCATAGCTAAGGGAAGAAGTAACAGCGTGTAAGCAGTCAGTGCTACAAGGATGGGATGTGAAATTATAAGGATTACACGTGAATGCAGAAGCTCGCCGCTCGAACTCGCCCCCCGCGGGGTGAGTTCCGCAACGAGTAGGGTTGCGATGAAATGGGTAATGTACAAGATTTTAATATTTCTAACGTTTACTACGTATTCATGTCAAACATATACGAATGATGGAGAGCAAAGAAGGGTTTCCGAGAAAAATAGAAAATACCAAAGGATGTTATCTATATGTTTATTTGTAACACCAATATTATATTTACCAGAGGGAGGCTTTGTACAAAAGTCGATTGCTTGGGTACCTCTGTCCCTTTCGTGTTTCAACCGTGAAGCAGTTGTGTGTGCATGGCTGTGTTTCGGTTTGAAGGGTGGGATATGGCGTGAATTTACTGGGTACAGAGGAATAACACCTGTGTCCTCAGGAATGGCAACGCATGGGGGGTATCATGGGCGAAACAGTATACTCTGTTATGTCCATGGTACTGCTCATGTCTATAGGCGACGGTTACCAGTTAATAAATAAAATGAGTGTTTACACATTAAAAAGATGCAGAATTTATAAGACAAAATAAATATAGAAGTTATAAAGGAGTCACTCATAATTATTTATCACGCAAAATTGTACTAATTAACCGTGTGGTCCCGGCGTAGAATAGGCTACCCTTTCCTTTCCTGTAGGCATCGTAGGAGGCGACTTAGGGTACAGAATGGTCGAAGGAAGGTCTTAAATCATCACTCAGCTTATAGGGTAGGCTGTGTTAAATAGGGAACTGTTAAAGATTGATAAATTATTATTATACTAACACTATGAAAAGGAAACATTTGTTTGTTTGTTTATAATGGATAAACTCAAAAACTATTCAAGCAATTTTAAAAATTCTTTCACCTATAGAAAGCTACATTATCAGAGAATAAAGTAGGTTAGAGTTTATTAAAAAAAAAAAAAAAAACGTGCGATGCCGAGGAAAGTCTATAGTATGAATTAAATACATGTTTACACAGGTAACTATTACCATTTTTAATAAAATGAAAGAATGGTTGACTGGGAGAGAATGCTTTTAGCATTAAGTCCGCCATGTACACATATTTGTACTAATGAATAAATAAATAAATAAATAAATACCATTTAAAATCATAAAATCCTAATTTGACATTTTTTTTACGACACATGGGGCAAACGAGCATGCGGCTCACCTGATGGTAAGTGACTACCGCCGCCAATGATCACCTGTAACACTAACAGCATTGCAGGTGTGCTGCCGGCATTTTTTAAAAAATATGCAGAATATAATAGAAAAATTAAGATTGTGTCCCATAAACAAAAAAACCGATTTCAATTCCAACAAAACCGGTTATTTCGTTCTAAAAACTAAACTACTAAACCGATTCTGATAAAATTACTATAGGACTAATATGTAAGTATAACCTTTTGAATAAAAAAAAAAGAATTTTACAAATCGGTTTAAAACTGACGGAGTTATGAGGTAACAAACATGGGAAAAATACACCTGAATTTTTTTAAGTCGAGCACTTTTTTTGAATTCAGCTGTAAAATGTGTTCAACCCTAAAATACTTTGCTAGCTTTTACATCACAAGGGCTAAGTATGAAGCAAGTATATGACTTTCATGCACTAGACGCGGCTACGGGGTTTAATTGTAATAATACCTACATAACTGCATTTTTATTGCCGACATTTCGAACTGGATTCCGTTTGAATTATTCATCGTCATTATTGGGTCACGATAGTGTATTTAAAATATGTCAACAACGGGTTTTAAAATCAACTGCTTTAAATTAGTCGCTAAATGTTTGCTGGTAGAGAACTCTTACAGAGTTAAACTCGCCTGTTGTACATCTTTTGTTTTTAATGTATATGTATATGTATGCGTGTACGTATTTGTATATATATATATATATATATATATATATATATATATATATATATATATATATATATATATATATATATATATATATATATAGTAGGGATATATATTATATATATAATAATAATAATAAGTATATATTTATATTATTACATGTATCACACTTCCATATTTAGAATTAACAGAATTTTTCATCGTACCTCCCACCAAACTGTTTATAATTACTCCTCTTCATCCAGAGGTCGCCTGGAAGAGATCACTTTTAGCGATAAGGTCGCCCATTGTCTTCTCATTGTGATTATTTCTTGTAATTGTTTATATTTATAATAAGTTTACTATTGTAATCTTTTGGAGGAAACAATAAAGAGTATCTATCTATCTACCTTTGTTTATTTAAAATAAATTATAAAAATGTAAAATTTTGTGTACAATAAAGTATAAATAAATAAATGAAGATTTCGCTGTAATATCCAATTCCACTTTTAGGAATAGGTTTAGGTATTTGGCGTTCCAGATTCGACCCCAATGGCAGGGTTGGTGCCATGTCCTGATAACAGGTGAAGATGAAAGCATGCCGATGGGTATTTTCAGTGGAGACCACGTGGAGGTCGATATGTATGCTACTAGCAATGAGGTTGCTAGTCTCCCTTACTAGTAATTCCTTCTTATCACCATCTCATCATCATCGTATCAGCCAATATTTCTCTACTACTGCACGCAGGCCTTTCCCATCGTCTGCCATAAGGTACGGTCCAAAACTATCTGCATCCACTGCATCCTCCATCCCTGCAATGAATTCGAGGTTGCCACTCCATCTAGTGGGGGGTTGTCCTATACTGCATTTGCCTGTACGGGGTCGCCACTCAAGAACCTTTCTTCCACATCGGTTGTCAGTTTTTCGAGCTATATGACCAGCCCATTGCCACTTCAGCTTGCTTGTCCTTCGGGCTATGTCGGTCACTTTGGTTCTTTTGCGGATATCCTCGTTTTGGATGCTGTCACGCAAAGAAACACCGAGCACAGCACTTTCCATAGCCCGTTGAGTAAATTGAAGCTTTTGCATACAGGCAACGTACATTAATTCGTATAAAATAGGTCAAAATTCTTGATACATCTTAAAAGCAAGAGCGACAGACGAGAAATTGGCTTACCCCGCCAAAATTACACAGCCTCAACCGCGGGGCCTCGCAATTATTCCGCCAGATGGCTCTATAATTACAAAGAAGTCACCTATGTAATTTGTCACTTCTCATTAGTGGATTACAATGTAATTTCTTTGAGACATTCCGCAGGATTCAACCTATTGGGGGTGGGAATAAACTGCTGAAGGAAGGGCGGTTAATGGTTTGAAGGATTCCAAAAGGATTTTGTCCATAATTAGTTCTTTACTTTTACTAATTAATTTTTTTTATCGTAACATTAAAAAAAAAAACTATATTTCATTGTCAAAGGCACACCTGTAACGTTTCTAGTGTTGCAGGTGCTTACAGGCAGCGGTAGTCGCTTACCAGCAGGCGAGCCGCATGCACGTTTGCCTACTGCATTATAAAAAAAAATACGACTGCCCAAAAAAGGTGTAATGTTTTTAGGTTTTATATCATCCCCATCGTCACATCAGCCTTTCACATAAGCCTTCTGCGTAATGGAAATTTTTCCAGTAGTTGCCAGACTTGGCAGGCGGGTTGGTTTAACCGAAATTAGTTTTTAGTCAGCTGCTGCCCTTCCTTCTACTATTAAGTTCCCTTAATCGCCTCTTACGACACCCATGGGAAAGGAAGAGATGACCATTTGCGGTCCCGATATAGATGCCATGTAAATAACACCAGTTCCAAATAACACAGGGCATTCTATCTTGGAAACAAAATAGTAATAAACAACTGTATAAAATTTATTATTATTTATAATAATTAAACATTGTACAGGAATAAAATTATAAAATTAAAATAAATTTATACCTATAGATGTTTTTAATTGTATATTTCATCTATTTATTTTTAACTATAACATTTAAGTCAATTGATTAATACACATTTACTATTAATAAACTGTCAGTTTATCTCATATTGGGTTTGTTGGAAGAAATCTCTTTTAGAGACAAGCTCGCCTTTTTGTGTTCAATAGAGAATGAAGAACGGAGAACGGAGAACCGAGAATTGAGAACGGAGACCGGAGACCAGAGAACGTAAAATGGAGAACGGAGAACGTAGAACGGAAAACGGAGACCGGAGACCGGAGAATGGAGAAAGAAAACTGAAGGAAGAAGAACAAAGAATTTATTAACAATATCACTCACTATCACTATTCAGTACAGACGGCTCTCTTTTAATTTTCTGCTTCTCCCTCTTTTTTAAACTTTTCAATATTTTCATTACCATTAATCTAAACTCTAATTTTGCTTCTTCTGACAATGTTTTCACAGCTGGAGTTATAGACTTGAAGAAAGCTCTGTCCTCGTCTTCTTCCTTCTGTATCAGATTTGCAAGAAAGGTAACAATATTGGGATCATCTCTTAGATGATCCTCACAAACTGCGGATTCCTCCTTTGTCACATTTAACACATCATACTTCGGTCGCTTGCTGGCTACTTCTTCTGTACTCTCGTCAACATCTATAAATACTTCTCCCATCCAATTATCACCTTCTTCACTATCGACTCCTGTGTTACTTTCTTTTTGTTCATCGGTATTCAGAATTACATCTAAGAAAGTCATTTCGTTCGAGTATATATAGGGCTTTGGAGATCTGGCGGATTTTCTGTATTTTACAAACGAATCCCTGACGTTGTTCCATTTTTTTGTAATCGTGAGACCTGGACGAAAAAGTGTGGTTAAATATAATTTGAAAAAAAGATACGCTAAGGATCTGTAGTTATAGATATTTCTCTTTTTCCTCTAAAATAAATGTAAAAATTCATTAAAACAAAATCTACTGGTTGATAGATAAAAAATCCTACAATATAATATGAGCTTTTAATGAATTATTACATTCACTTTACTAGCAACACTTAATAATTTCTGACTGTCGCGGAGATCATACTACGTATATGTATATATTTTTTTTATACAACTTAGAATGGCAAACAAGCTGACGGTCCACCTGATGGAAAGTGATATCCGTCGCTTATAGACATGAGCAGTACCATGGACATAACAGAGTATACTGTTTCGCCCATGATACCCTCCATGCGTTGCCATTCCTGAGGATTCAGGTGTTATTTAATATTTAATAATTACCATGTACTGTCTGTAACAATTTTAATCCCTTTAGGGCGAGAAAGGAATTGTTGGTAAGGAGGACTTCTAGTCCCATTAGCAATACTACAGATCGACTTCCACGTAGTCCATCCCAAGAACTATTATGGTTAACTCCTGGTGAATTAATCATGATAGATCGACTAAACTGATTCGAGTCATTTATCATCCATAGTATTAGATGATAGACGAGAATGCATTAAGAATCAATGGATTGGTAACCAGTGGGTTACCATTACATTTCAGACCTATAAAATATATCCGTTGAATATAAAAACTCACCAGAGGGCGTCACTTTGTTTCAAAAATATCAACTCACCCATTTGGTATCTTACAGTTGGACTTAATGAGTCGTAGGTAGGTTCTATTTCCCTGTATATCTCCTTCCAAGCTTTTGTCTTCAAATGTTTGTTCTTATAGTCGGCGTGCCTGCGATCCCAGAGACATCTATACCGCTTGACCATGGCTATCAGGTCTCTGGTGTCCACTATACGTTTATAATTTATTTCCTCGCTGGAATAAAAACATTTTTAGTTGCGATTCGTCCCGACTTCGCACGGGTAGAAAGATAAATTAGTACAAATTATCTTTTTTAATGAAATTTTTGAATCTTTGGATTTTTTTAATGGATGATAATGGAATGGTAACCCCACCCGCGCTATCGGTATACACCGGCGGGGCACCAGTGAAGGATGATAGGTGAGGATGAAGTAGGTCAGTTAGCCCATCGTGACAAATTCGACAAGAATTGTTCATGACAGTTTTCAGGGGAAGCCACGTGGAGGTCGACCTAATATGGCATATTACTAACAATGGGACTGTCAAACTCCATTGCTAACAATCCCTTTCCCTCCGCGCTGACAGTATTACATATATATTCGAAAATAGATATCCGACCGATATGGGCGATGTCGATATATATATACTCCATGTATGTATGTCCATGGTACTGCTCATGTCTATAGGCGACGATTACCACTTTCCATCAGGTAGGCCGTCAGCTTGTTTACCATTCTAAGTTGTATAAAAAAAAATTTAAACATAATACATATAGATAGATAGATAGATAGATAGATACTCTTTATTGTTTCCTCCAAAAGATTACAATAGTAAACTTATTATAAATATAAATAATTACAAGAAATAATCACAATGAGAAAACACTATAATATTACTATTTTATATTAATTTTCTATTATTTATATTATATTTATTTTCAAACTACGTTGCATCATCACTTATACTTTCTCTACTGGTTATAGTGTTAAATCCGCCATTTACACTATCCAAGTGTAATCACTTTACTAAAAAAAAAAAAAAAATTATGGATGGCAACAGTCACTATTTTCCATCAACTTTTTTGCCATTCAAAGTTGTATAAAAACATAAAATGCCACTACGTCAAAAATAAAAGTATGTATAGCAAAATATATAAAAAAAAATGTAATTATTAAGATATAAATTATAATTATAAAATCTCGCACTAACCTTTTTTCGTTTTCAGCATTGCCACTGTTTTCATCAGACAATTCGGCCATGATCCGAATTCAAAATGGCCGCCAATTTTCCCGCCAATTCACCAACTGTGTTTGCCCATAGTATTGTTTACCGCCAAAGTTGTCTAGACTCAATCAAATAAACTCTTTTCAATATTGTACAATCCAATTTAACGTATATAATGGTTTTTATACACAGAATGTTATAAATTATGCTTGGCTTTGTATTGGTTTTATTATTGTAGTATTTAGCTAATAAAATCTCAAAATAAAATTAAACAATAATATTTTAAACTGTACAAACAATGTAGCAGTAAACAATGTGAAATTTGAGTAATTCTGTTGAGAAATTCCAGGGGAAAAATATGAAATAACAGCGTACGATCCGTACGCCGGTTCGGAATCGACTGTCCGGGCGTTTGGCACCGGAATCCGGCGTGGAGCGGCAACATCGCGCGCCGCCCGGCGGCGAGCCGGCGACCGTGAGAGCCGGAGTTCGGAACGACAACGTCGCAATGTGTTTTTTATGGGATGATAATGGAATGGTAACCCCGCCTGCGCTAACGGTATACGCTGGCGGAGCACCAGTAAGGGGTGATAGGTGAGAATGAAAAGGCAGGTCAGTTAGCCTATCGTGACAAATTCAATGATAAATTAGTCACAATAGTTTCCAGGGGGAACCGCGTGGAGGTCGACCTGATAAGGTGTATTGATAGCGATGGGGACTAACCTCCCCATTACTAACAATCCCTCCCCCCCCCCGACACCGTCTAATTGTAAATTTATTGCATTATTAAAATAGATATTACAATGATAGGGGAAAGGGATTGTTAGTAATGATAAGCACCAGCCCCATTGCCAGCAATAGGTATACCCTGTTAGGTTGACCTCCACGCGGTCCCCCCTAGAAACCATCGTGATTATTTTCGTGACGATGGGCTAACAAATCTGCTTTCATCCTCACCTATCATGCCTCACTGGTGCCCCGCCAGCGTATATCGTTAACGCAGGCGGGGTTATTATTCTATTAACATTTATACTAATTTACTATTTAATTTACATATTTTATACGAGTGCCTCTGTCCCATTCGTGTTTCAACCGTGAAGTAGTTGTGTTTGCATGACTGTGTTTCGGTTTGAAGAGTGGGATATGGCGTGAATTTACTGGGTACAGAGGAATAACACCTGAGTCCTCAGGAATGGCAACGCATGGGGAGTATCATGGGCGAAACAATATACTCTGTTATGGCCATGGTACTGCTCATGTCTATAGTCGACGGTTACCACTTTCCATCAGGTGGGCCGTCAGCTTGTTTGCCATTCTAAGTTGTATAAAAAAAAAACTATCAATCCCTTCCGCCCCACATATTAAATTGAGTTAGGTATATATATTAAGATACATGGTGGTGATAACGCGACTAAATCGCACACATCATGCGTCTCGCAGTTCTGTCGCACGTGAAGCGGCAATGGGGGCCATTAATATAATCTATCCATTTGTTACAGTAAGCTTCAGTATCTTGGATATTAAATTTCTTAAATCCAATATCGAATAAAATCGTTTAGAAAAATTTTTTGATTTTATATTCCAAAAACGAATCTTAGACTGAATTTTCAAATTGGAGACAAACTGTTAAATAATTCAAAATCGAACATCTCATGAAACAAAATACAAGATAATGATACAAAGAGTTCAGAGGAAATTTGCACGTGTTCTATATAGTAAACTTTACAGCTACTGTCCTTATTTGTACCCGTCACTGTTCGTATCCGGTATGGTAGGACTAGAAACGCTCGAGATAAGGCGGGAGTGCAATTTGATGATGCACTATTCTCGGTTGCTCAACGGCGGAATAGACAATCCTGCAACTCTTAGCCGTTGTTCTCTGTACGCACCCCAACGCTGCATGCGATTGCGTGCTTGTCGACTACTATCGGCACCGCCGGTTCGCACCTGTACTGCTCAGTTTGCTCCCACTTATCAGGCTATTTCTCTGCTCAATTCTCTGACTGCTCAGCAGCCAGATATTGTTATATTTAATGACAAAATAGATATATTTTTAAAATGTTGTAAAAAATTTGTAAGTTTGTAAAATAAAACTATGGCTCACTACACGTTTTGGGAGACTGTAAGTGTGGTGAGTGATTTTCAAATAAATAAATAAATAGGGGCGAAGTCTCCGTTGATTTGTTTTTTAATGGGCAATAATAGAATGGTTATTCTGTCTCCGTTGTAGATATACACTGATTGGATATCAGTGAGAGATGATAGGTGAGGATGAAAGCAGGTCGGTTAGCCCATCGTGAGAGGGGAAAGGGATTGTTAGTAATGGGGTCTAACTACCCCATTGCTAGCAATATACCCTATCAGGTCGAACTCCACGTGGTTCCCTCTGGAAACCATCGTGGTTAATTCTAGTGCCATCACGATGGGCTAATTGACCTGCTTTCATCGTTACTTATCATCCCTCACTGGGGCCCCAGTGAAGCCAGCGTATACCGTCAGTGATAAATACACCTGAAATTCAGCAAGATGGTTTTCAAGGAGATTACTTAGAGGTTTTTTTATACGACTTAGAATGACAAATGGGCCGTCAGCTTGTTTGCCATTCTAAGTTGTATAAAAAAAAATAGGACGCGCTACTAACAATTTCTTCCCTTCCGATGAAAGCAGGTCAGTTAGTTCATAGTGACGAACTCTACAAGAATTAACAATAATGGTTTCCAGAGGAAATCACGTGGAGGTCGACCTGAGTATATCCTATATTGCTAGCAATAGGGCTTTAAACCTCACTGCTAACAATCATTTAATTAATTTTTAAGATCCCTTAGTCGCCTCTTACGACACTCACAGAAAAAAAGGCTCTCCTTCCTTTCCCGTGAGGATCCGTATTCATGTGGTTCCGGCATAGGATAAGCCTCTGCCTATCCTATGCCGGGGCCACGCGGTAAATCGTCCACCATTAGGCATTCCATATTATATTAAGTTAATGCAAACACTTTCGAATCCTCCCACTTTTTCTCGAGTCGGTTGACAAATACGTTCAATCTTACTGCAAAGCCAATCGGCTCCACATTCCATCCCATATGTTTCCAATGCTATTAATTCCGATACAAATTGTTTCTATTTATATACAACCAACAATAGAAAGCTCCGGATCCAGTTGATTCAATTCTGCACATTTATTTTCTATTGTTAAATGCATGTAGTGTAGGAGATGGGCACAAAAATTGCACTGCGATTTATTTATTAATATCTTTTTTAATTGTAGATAGTAGGAAAGAAAAAAAGAATTAAAGAAAAAAAAGAAAGAATAAAGAGGAAAAAAAGAGACAGAAATATTCAGCGCTCAGTTTTACACTTAATTACATAAAATATTTAACAATAAACAAAAAAGAAAAGGACAGCAACAAATTGGTATTACTCAGCTACATGCCACGTCTCTGCGAACATGACACTGATTTTCAATACTATAAATTTATTGAAGAGAGAAAGCACTACTAAAAAGTCCAAAACAACAAAAAAAAAATACTGAACTGAATTGGTAATAACAAATTGTAAGCAAAATACGTTTTCCTTGAGAATGACAGAAAGAGAATACTTTTGGTAAGTGCGCCTTCTACACATGTCCTGTATTAAACAATAAAAAAAATAAAAAATCCCTTCAATCAAGCTTGATATTTAATAGTAGAATTGTTCTAAACCTTGTGTTTATTATTATTTAAGTCATGCAAAGTATATTTACAAATTTGCAAGCTCTAATCATAGCAATATAAACGAGATCAATTCAAATTAGAATTTGCATATCAATCTGTATTAAACATATTATATGTGTTGTTTGAATCAAACACAAGTTTGGAACGATTAAAACTGGTCCGTCCAATACTCACGTGTATTTAAACTAGTTTAAACTGGACTGAACTGGTTTAATCCAGTTTAAATAATACTGCCGGAAAACAGTACCGAGCCCTCTAACTACAACTAAACACCCGCAACCTATGGAAATAAACGTCATTTGACTATAAAAGCGATTGAGGAAGTTTTAAAAGTGGACTTAAATTTGTTATTCGATATTCGACTTTATGCGTATTGTGATAAGAGTAGTAGGAACTTAATATAACAATCACAGGGATTGATTGATTTATAGGTGAATTTATTGAGTACCTATGTTTTATTACTTTGACAATTATGTTAAGTTGCTGTTTGTAAACTTAGTAATTTACCTTTTATTAAGCACATAGTATAAGCGCATTTAGACTTTGGAGATGTTTTTTTATGGTTGATAATGGAATGATAACCCCGCTTGCGCTAACGGAATACGCTGGCGGGGCACCAGTGACGGATTATGACTCTGTTATGTCCATGGTACTGATCATGTTTATAGGCGACAGTTACCACTTTCCAGTTGTATAAAAAAAAAAGATAGGTGAGGGTGAAAAGGCAGGTCAGTTAGCCCATCGTGATGAATACACCTGGAATTTAGCACGATAGTTTCCAAGGGGAACCGCGAGGAGGTCGACCTGATAGGGTATATTGCTAGCAATGGGACTGATAGTCCGCATTACTCTTGTGAGAACCATTTGAATAATGTTTATAATTTGGAATTTTTTTTTTTAAATATATATCTAATAATTTTACCGGGAGAAGGACCAATGAAAACGGCGCTGGTAGGAGAGGAGGGCAGCTACAATAATAAAATAATATTATAAAGAGAGGCTTACCAGTATAATTTCTTATGACAATCACAATCTAACAATATAACAATAAGATGTCAATAAAGTAGAAAAACAAAATAAGTATCAAAAAGACATATTCATAATATAAAAATATAATGCTAAAAAGGTAAATTATATAAAAAGAGGTCTGTCGCCAACATGGCACGCCCCGGTGCAGAGCACCAATCTAAGGAGGCGACAAAAGCAATATCACCATGTCAATCGGACTTCCATCTTGTTGTTGTGGTGACGGTACAAATCTGTGTCGGTATGGGGCGAACAGCTTCAGTCGACGGAGTATACGACTAGAATAGAAAAATGGGTGACCTATTCTAACAATTCTTCGTCTGAGAGACAGATCAACTCGGTGCTGGCCACAGAACGCGAGCTCGCGGTCTCGCCTGGCGTTTGCGCCACCGGTATGGCTGGTGTCGCAGCGCGCGAGCACGGGCCCCCTTTCGCGCCTGTTCAGTCGGCATTGGAGGCGCATACGGTAGTGAAATTGGTCGGGCGCGCGCATGAATACTCGCCCAGCACCGCCGGCGTATCAGCCGCGGTGCGCGAGTGTGCGCTTGTTACCGCGCCGGCCCTAACTACCCTTGTATCTTCAAAGGTTCACAGCATGACATCCTCTCAGCACTGCGGCTATGGAGCGCAGCAGCCAGACGCTGTTGCTTCGTCGAAGGCC